CATTTGCCAGTCCGACTCCTCTCCCCCTGCTGACCGTGACACTGTCTGGAAGGCAGAAGTCACTCACATGTGTTCTGATTGTGGGGATTCTTTCCCCCAAGCTGCCGACCTGCTGAGCCATAAGTCCTGCCACCCTCCAGGCATCTACCAATGCTCTCTCTGTCCAAAGGAGTTTGATTCTCTGCCTGCCCTGCGTAGTCACTTCCAGAACCACAGACCAGGGGAGGTCGCCTCAGCACAGCCCTTCCTCTGCTGTCTGTGCGGAATGATCTTTCCTGGGAGAACTGGCTACAGGCGCCACCTGCGCCAGGTTCATGGCACTTCTGGCATACCTGAGGGCTCAGAAGAGGAGGAGGAAGGCACAGCGGAAGCAGCCTCTACCCACAGTCCTCCTCTGCAGCTCTCAGAAGCAGAGCTGCTGAATCAGCTACAGCGGGAAGTGGAGGCTCTAGATGGAGCAGGTTATGGACACATTTGTGGTTGCTGTGGTCAGACCTATGATGACCTGGGGAGCCTGGAGCGTCACCATCAAAGTCAGAGTTCCAGCAATATGACCGAGAACATTCCTAGCCACTTGGAAGGATCGGGTGATGCGGTAGAAATGGCTACAGATGATGTCTTTGAGGGCACAGTGACCTCTGTTTCAGAAGCGGGTGGGGACACTCAGTCTGAGGAGGGAGCAGGAGGCACAGTTGCAGACAGCCTTTGCATGCAGGCTGGTGAAAGCTTCCCCAAGTCCCATCCTCGCCCTTTCCAATGTAACCAGTGTGGCAAGACCTATCGCCATGGAGGCAGCCTGGTGAACCACCGTAAGATCCACCAGACAGGCAACTTCATCTGCCCTGTCTGTTCCCGCTGCTACCCCAACCTGGCTGCCTACCGGAATCATCTGCGCAACCACCCTCGCTGCAAAGGTTCAGAGCCCCAAGTGGGGCCTATCGCAGAGGCAGGAGGCAGCAACGAACCCCAGAATGTGGCAGAGGCAGGAGGCAGCAACGAACCCCAGAATGTGGCAGAGGCAGGGCAGGAACAGGCAGTCATAGGGCAGCTCCAGGAAGAACTTAAAGTGGAGCCCTTGGAGGAGCTGGCGGGAGTGAAAGAAGAAGTGTGGGAAGAGACCACGGTAAAGGAGGAGGAGCTAGAGCAGAGGCTGGAGACGGCAGAGAAAGGCTGTCAAACTGAAGTTAGCTCTGAGCGGCCCTTTAGCTGTGAAGTGTGTGGCCGAACCTACAAGCATGCTGGCAGCCTCATCAATCACCGGCAGAGCCATCAGACTGGCCACTTTGGCTGTCAGGCCTGCTCCAAGGGCTTTTCAAACCTCATGTCCCTTAAGAATCACCGGCGCATCCATGCAGACCCTCGGCGTTTCCGCTGCAGTGACTGCGGGAAAGCCTTTCGCCTGCGGAAGCAGCTGGCCAACCACCAGCGGGTTCATACTGAGCGACGGAGGGGAAGGGGCACCCAGAAGCCGACTCGTGAGGATCGGTCTTTCAGGTGTGGGCAGTGTGGCCGGAACTACCGCCATGCTGGCAGCCTTCTGAACCATCAGTGCACCCAGGAGACAGGCCAGTACAGCTGCTCCTTTTGCTTTAAGACCTATTCCAACCGCACAGCCCTGAAAGACCATCAGAGGCTGCATTCTGATAGCCGGAGGCGGCGGACACCCCGGAGGGGAGCAACTGTACGTTGTACCCTTTGTGGCTGTGGCTTTCCTGGCCAGCGATCTCTGGAGCGGCATCTTCAGGAGCATGAGGAGACCAAACTAGAGCTGACCAGTGGCCAGGGAGACCCACATGATGCTGAAGGCAGTAAGGAGAACCTTGCTGATGACTGGGGAGTGGAGGGCAGACCAGAAGGTACTCAGTCAGTACCACAGCTGGAGCTTGGAACCAAGAGGCCTGGGGAGCATAGTCAGAGTCCCAGCAGGCCAGCACAGTCAGAAGTCACAGAATCTTTATCTTGGGAAGTGGGGAAGGTAGATGGGTATCGAGGAGAAAGGGGACAAATGACTCACAATGGTGCCTGGGTTCCTCAGGATCAGTTAGCCAAGCCAGAAGGCAAGTTGGAAGATACTGGCTCCAAGAATTCTTGTCACTTCTCTGAGAGCCAGTCCAGTGATTCTACCGTAAGTTATATGGATAGCCAGGACGGTGGAGACAGCAGCTCTCGGCTCCAGTCAGAGAGCCACCCCTCTTGCAGCCAGTGTGGAAAGACCTATCAACCTGATGGCCTCTTGAACCCCAGCATTGACAAGAAAGTCTGTCACAGTTGTTTGCTCTGTTCCCCAGAGATACTGAGTCCTGTGACCACTAAGATCCACAACCACATTGCCGCCCAGACCTTTGCTTGTCGTAACTGCAGCAAAGTGTTTGCGTCCCACAGTGAGCTGGCCACACACATGCAGACTCATGCTGTTGACGATAGCCAGGTGCCAGGTCAGACAGAGGAGACCAGAGAGCCACAAGCTTGGATGGCAGCGGTGGATCCCCCTGGTCCAGGGAACACTCAGGAGGCCCCATCCGAACCTTGCAGAGACCCAGAAGAGAATGGGGAGCCAGCTAATGGAGGACAAGGAACAAACCTCACAGCAGCTGAAGACAAGGAGCGTCCCTTTTGCTGTGCCCAGTGTGGGCGCTCCTACCGCCATGCTGGTAGCCTGCTGAACCACCAGAAGGCCCATACCACTGGACTCTACCCCTGCTCCCTGTGTCCCAAACTCCTGCCCAACCTGCTGTCTCTCAAGAACCACAGCAGGACCCACACAGACCCCAAGCGCTACAGCTGCAACATCTGTGGCAAGGCTTTTCGAACAGCTGCCCGGCTGCGGGGCCATGGGCGGGTCCATGCCCCTCAGGAGGGACCATTCACCTGTTCTCACTGTCCCCGCCATTTTCGCCACCGAAATAGCTTCCTGCAGCACCAGCAGCAGCACCAGGAGGAGTGGACAATGTCTAGCTCAGGTATGTGGGGTGAATGGGTTGGATAGAGGGTTGAGGGGACCCAGAAGGAGGTGGGCACACGGTGGAGAGAAGCCATGGCCCTGAGTAGGTAAAGGAAGTAAGGACAGAATCGAGTGGATTGTGAGAAGCGGCGGAAGCCTGGACACGGACTGACAAACTGAAGTGTGAATCGTGGATCAGAAAGATGGACACTGGGGTAGGTGGGGTGGATGGGGCAGGAGCGTGGAGTGTTGTATAGCCAAAGAGTGACTGTTTTCTTTCAGTAGGCCAGGGTGTCTGGGAACTGCCACATCTGGGAACCCTGATTTAGCCAGCAATGATTCCCAGAGGGAAGGGTGAAATGGGCTGTGTTTAGGTTCTGGTCTTTCCAAGAATGGGCAAGAAGCCAGAGAATGAGAAAGGGGGGTGGGGGTGGGTTGCAGATTCCTGGGTTGTCTTGCAGGTAGATAGGAATAGCCTGCAGGATTAAAGCCAAGGTGGGTCTGCCTGTTCAGTTGGTAACGCTAACTGGCTGCTTTCCTGCTGACTGGGCCAGTTTGCTGGCTTACTGGTCACTACTCACTCTCTGTCCCTCTTTCCCTATGGCTTGTCTCTGTCTTCCAGCTCCCTTGGAATTGAGGCCTCTGTGAGTGGTGTACTGAACCCTTTTGATCTTCCTTTTAGTTAACTTTTCCCTCTCCTTCTGATACAGATCTTGTAAGAACCAACCAGACCGCCCTCTCCACCGGTACCTTCCCCAACACAGCCCTTTAACTAAGGGCTGACTCATGGATAATTGTTTCTTTGAAGACAGGCCCATCTGAGCAGTGGCAGTCATTAGTCTAGCTCTTCCCTCTATCACAGTGAATCTCTCGGGGGTGGGGAACTGGCCTCCACCCAGCCCACTGAAGGGCAAAGCTGTGGAGGCCGGGGCAGTCTGTGTACTCAGCAAGCCTTATGCTCATATTCCCCTCTGCAGAAGAAAATCCATTCCATCTATAGCCACCAAGGGTAGGTGTCCCTGAAATGTATGCCCTTGACCAGAGCTTGGCTGAGAAGGACAAAATAGTGATGGGTCCTGAGAACTGAAGAAATGGCTCTCAGGACCAAAGGCTTCTCAAATGAGCGAGGAGCCTAGTAACCAAGGCTGTAAAAATAATTACAATTATTTTTATAAGTTATAAGTTCCTGGGTGAGGGGGAGATGCTAGGCATGGTACCTAAAAAGCCTTATACACAATAGGCGAACTCTTTGACCCTGAGCTATTTATCCTGGCCTCTTGCACTTGTCTCTCTCTCAGGGCCATGTCAGGAACTGACCTGTAGGTCTGAGAGGTGGCTTAGGCCTCCCTCAGTGACCTCTTCTTCTCTTCGTAGGAGCTTCCATGGTACCAGCATCAAGCAGAGGGGATGGGGACTCATCTACAGCCTCACTTCTGAACCCCTCACCCCCGTGGCCTGCAGACCTCAACTTCTCTCTCTGAACTTCAAGTCTCCAAAGAAGAGTTCACTGAAGCTGGGGATGCAGGCACAGAGAGGCTTCATCTCCACATTCGCTCAGGATTGCTTGGGTCTCCCCATCTCCTCTTCCCTGAAGAGGAGCCTGATCTGGTTTCTCTCTCAATAAGGGGGATAAGGTAGTCTTCATGTCTGTGTCCATGAAGGACCTCCTTCCCAAGCCTTTGTCACCATGTTCTTCCACGGCCAGGCTCTGCCAGAATGCTGTGCTAGCCAGATTCTAACCCAGGAGAGGCATATTCAGAGCGTACACAGGTGGGAAAGTTGCCTGTGGAAGGGGAGCCTTTTACTATAGTTTGTAACTTATTTTCTAAAATCTATTTTGTAACAATTTATTTAAGTTTTAAAAAAGGAAAATTGCTCCCCACCCCCCCCCCAAAAAAAAACTTTTTTTTTTTCTTCACAACAGCTGCTGGTGTGGTTGTGTATGACGGGTTATTTAAGGAGTCCTGGAGACACCCCTGTTGGATTGCAGAGCTTGGGGGTGGGTCATGGTCACACACAGAAAGCATCCCTGGGCTGGCTCATTCCCAGTCAGACAGTTGGCTTGGCTTGCCTCAGGTCAGGGAACCACCAATAGGGAGGGGAGGGGATGGAGTGGAGAACTGGGTGTTGGTGGGAGTTGCCTGGCTTTTCTGGCGTCTTGTGAGTGAACTAGAGAGTCACCATCAACAACCGGCGGGTCGGCCTGTCGAGGAGAGGAAGGAAATTAACTTGGCCCCATCCCTAGAGCTTTATTAACTTGTGTTGAAAAAAGCAGGATCCATCTTGGCCCCTATGGCGTATGGGAGACCTGAAGACCAAGAAGCTGAGACCCTTACTGCCTACGTCCACGTGGATCTGTCTGTTGCTTACTCCACACCCCAGGCAGCTAGAGCCTGAGTGTCCTCCTTAGAGGGGAGCCCAGGCTAAGGAGGAAGAATGAAGAGGGACACGTACTTGAGTTGACCAGGCAGCTTCCAGGCTCAGCCTCGGGCTCTGGCTCCTCAGCGAAGTAGACCTGCCAGTCTAGACTGCTGACCCAGTCCTCATAGGCAGAGAGTGCCGCAAAGACCGCAGGCCTTGCAGGGCCTTGGCAGGTGTCTCCAAAGCTGTGCAGTCCAGCCAGGAACCACGTGCCCCTGACCTCATGGACGAGTGGTGCCCCAGATAGGCCCTGTTAGGGAGCAGGTTACACTTGGTGACTTTCCGTAGCGGGTGGGAGGGGCTTGGAGCTGTAGCCTGGGCTGTTTGGGGGCCAGCTGGCAGGAGGACTTAGTTTCAGGTGAGAAGCAAGGCTAGTAACCAAGCATGGTAGAAAGGTGAGAAAATGCCAGGGGTCTGCTGGGTAAGGGCTAGGAACTGGAACTCACCTCACACTGAGGCAGCTCACCCACGACAGTGGTGCAGACCATCCCGGGCAGGATGGGAGTGCCCGTGCTCCCAGGGGCTGCGTGGTGTTGGCTACAGGCCATTCGCCCCAGGACTCTGACAGGCACTGTCTGTGGGTGGCTGTTGGCTAGAAAACAAAGGACGAGAGCAGATGCCTCAGTTGCCTGCAAGTCCAGTGGACCACTGCCAGCATCCCCGTTACTATGTACCTGCTCCTGGAATCATCCCCAGAACCCAGCCATGTGCACCGTCGGGCAGGTGGTGGTCAGCATAGGGCAAGCAAAGGGGCCTCAGGCCAGGGCCTAACGTCACAGGCTGAGTCAGCAGCAGGAGGGCCACATCATAGCCGCCCTCTGGATGGGTGTAGGCCCCATGCAGAATGAGTTGTTTGAGGCTCCATTCCTCTGGTCCAGCCCCCAGACCTACACTCCATTCCTCTAAGGTTTGGCGCCTGTTGAGAGGCAGAGTTCTCAGCACTGAGAGACACAGCTGGGGCAAGGGGCACAGAGGAGAGTGACATAAGGCTCACCCGATAAAGCAGTGAGCAGCAGTCAGCACCACCACCTCTGATACCAGGGCTCCACCACAAGCCAACTTCCCATGGTGCTTCAGTCTAGCATCCCAGGGCCACTGAGAGAGTGCTCCTGCCTGAGGGCCTTCACTCCTCAAGGAGCCACACGCTGAAATAGGTGAATTACATCACCCAGTTAAGTGGTCACTTAACACTAGGACCTGTGCTGAGTGCTTCTGAATGTCAGCAGATCTTCCCAGTTGACTCTCAGCTTCATTACCAAAGGTAAACTAATACAGATTAACCTAGCTCTGTAACCAAAACCAGGTAGCCCACTTGGGATTCAGAGCCAACGTGCATGCCTTTAATCCTGATGTGACAGTAATCAGTGCCAGCCTTAACCTGGAAGGTCTCTGCCCCACTCCCCCACCCACCTACAGTTCCCCAAGCCTGGACCAGCCCTAAAATCCCTAGCTTGCTATTCTGAACATCAGGACCTAGCTTCCTTCCCTGAAATGACTTTGCATGCAATTTGCATTGCAGTCACTGCTCTGTCTCACCTTCCTGGATTTCTGCCTGGAAACTTGCAGCTTTCCCCCTGAAACCAGCCAGAGATTTCAGAGACACCCACCTGTAAAACTTCCTGGCTCCAGTGGGGCTGTTTGTATCCCAGAAACTAAAAGGCCCTTACAAACCTAGTTCTCTGTTGGCAGTGTCTAGACTCAGTGTCTGAGCTGAAGTTTGCTTCCTCATGGCTTCTACCCATTGGCCAGGAAGCCTTCATATGGCCTGAGTGTCCCTGTACACTCCACTTTTAATACCATGCGCAGACCTACCTACCTACCTACACAGCTGTTCTCATCGCTGGTCTCCACAGTTCCTGGGTCCTGTACCAGGAAAGCTGCCCCGTGAACGCGGGCCTGCAGCCACGAGCTGTGAGTGGCCATGTCAGTCAGCAGCACAGGAGTGTCCTCTTCGGCACATTTTGATGTGAAGCTTATGATCCCAACCTGGACCCAGTGTCCATCAGGCTCACGGCACATCACAGGTCCCCCAGAATCTCCCTGGAGCCAGGCAAAGGAGTCACCTGAGCCCCAATTCACTACTAACCAGATGCCTTCTGGCTGTTCCCCGTCACCCTTTTCTGTGGGCCCTTGGCCCAAGATTAGGCCTTCCCTTTCCCCCTGTACTCATCAGACCTGGCAGGGTCCCTGTACCCCAGGCTGGGCACCCCCACACAGCATCCCAGGTCTTGCTGGGTTGGCCAGCAGCCGCTGGTGTAACCGATTATAGAGACAGTTGCAGGTGGGGCGGCTGATGAGACGAAGGCGCAGGTTCCGTAGGGTCCTGGAAACTGGCAACGGAGATGAAGCTGAGTCTAGCTCTAGGAAGCAGTGGGGCCCAGGCAGAGTGCCTTCTAGGTCTTGTCAGGACAGGACTTACCATCGCTGGTGTTTTGGTCCCAGCCTGTGGCCCAGCAAGAAGCTCCAAAGGGGAAGTGATGGGTGGACCGGGGCAAGCAGAGGGTTGTATGGGCTGTGGGGTGGCTGAGCTGGAGCAGGGCCAGGTCTGATCCCTGGCTGTAGTGGTTATAGGCCTTGGGCAACTGCAGAGCAGCAACTGGCACCTCTTCAGCCCCTGGGCTCAGCCCCTCCTGCTTCAGAGAACCCAGGACCACGGACCAGGAGCTCAGTTCTGTTGTGGCCACCCTGAAAGGAGAAGGGCAGGGCCCGGGCAGCTGAGTGCCAGTGAGCATGACAGCGGGGAGAAGGAACACAGGTGGGGAAGATGAGCAGAGAACCCGACTTCAGCCACGCTCCTCCAGTTCCCACTTCCTCCTCTGTAGAGCAGGAAAGATGGCAAAGGCTGAGCTGGTCATAAATGACATTTCGTTATTCTAGGGGCAAAAGAGTCTTGCAAGGTACAGGGAGGGACAAGTCCACCCTCAAATCGAGAGACTGAACCAAAGCACGACTCACTTTTCAAAGCAGTGAGCGGCTGTGAGGACCCAGGTATCGGCCACCAGTGAGCCGCTGCAGATGTGTACCCCCTGTCGCCTGATGCTGGCCTGCCAGGGCCATTCATGAGGTAACGTGTTGCCTTCCTGGGGCTCCGGAGGGCCAGGGCCGCGTTGCCCGCAGGCTGTAGAGAAGGGTGAGTCATGGTCACTGTGGACACTGTCCTGACCTCGGGACCACACAACGCCATTCCCCCTTCCCCATTATCCCCCAGTACAGCCCATGTCTCGTTCCCACCACTTACCACGCTGAGCTGCTTGAAGACCTAGGAAGAAGAAGACACAAGACCTTAACTGGTGGAGGGGATGAGTCGGGTTCTTATCTACGGCTGGCTACCTCACCAGCCCCTCCCAGAATGCAAATATTTATATGCTGCTAAAAAGCAGCTTTTATTGGAGCCCATTCAGAGTACTCAGCCATTAACTCCTCAGCTGTGCTCAGCACTCTTGGGCCCAAGAAGCAAGGCCTGAGATTTATCTTGGGAGCAGGCCAACCCTCCAGGCTTCTGAACCCCTAACTCCTGCCCCCACCACTGAGTCAGGGAGGTGGCCAGTGTATGTGAAGGACATTAGCCTAATTGTCCCTTCAGCTGTGGAAGCCTGAGATGCTAGATTAGAGGCCTCTGTCATGTCCAAAGTGGGGGAGGCCCCAAGTGAGACTCACTCCACCCCTGTGCTAATGAATCAAACTACCTTTCCGGAGGAGGCTGACCTTTCCCAAGGGTCCCTGCCCTGCCTGAAACTCATCCTGGGCTCACACAAAGAGGCCTAATGCACATCTGAAGCAGAATTAGCGCAGACAGCTCCAAGCCAGCGGGGCCAGAGCAGGCCTGAGGTCATTCTGCAAGTAGAGGATCGGAAGGGGCGAAATACACACAGGTGAGACGACTGCACCCAGACAGAGTGATCTCAGATCCTTCCCTGCCCAATCCGCACGCAGACTGCTCTCAAGCACCTGACTTAGCTTTCTGCCCTTCAGTCTCCTCATCAAGACATAACTACTGTAGGAGTTAATGTATTGGCACAGGTTCTTACACAGTGCTCAGACTTGGCCCAGGAAAACCATCCACTTGACAGCAGGCTGTGTGTTACCTCCCTTCTCTCCCCACATCCCTCCTCCCACATGACAACTCCACACACCTAGACAAGGACATCCACGGGGAGACTATAGCCCCTTGGGATCCCTTACATAGCAATTGCAGTCTACTTGAATGGCTTACCCTCTAGCAGGACCACAGCTCCCACAATAAGCAGCCCTGGTCCCCAGCTCTGCCGCATCCTGCTCCGGGCCACTCAGTGCGCTAGCTCGTTCTCAGAGGAGCCACCTGGGTTTCCCTGGCTCCACCCCAGCTCCGCCCCCAGTCAACTAAGAGCCAGGTGTTACTTTTCCTGGGCTAGAAGGAAACCAACGGCTTGGGGCGGTGGTTGTGTGGTCCTTACGCCTCTCTGGACTTCTGGCAATGGCCACACTCCCCCAGTTCAAATCCCAGTTCCCCCATTTACTGCACCAGTAACTTTAAACAATGAAACTGTTTCTGTCTTGCCTGAAAAACTCCAGGGCTTTGAGGGGTGGGAGCTGGAGAGATGACTCAACACCTAGCAGCACTGACCCCATTCGATTCCCAGAAGCCATAGGGCAGTGCACACCACCTGTAACTCCAGTTCCAGGGGATCTGACACCTTCTTCTGCCCTCCCAAGTCACCAGGCATATATGTGGTGCACAGACATACATGCAGGCAAGACACTCACATACACAGAATAATAGTAAGAATTTCAAATTGGTCCCATCAAGTGGACTGGAAGGAATGTTGCTTTTTATTATTTTTTTAAAAGATTTATTTATTAAGCATACAATGTACTGCTGGCAAGGAAGGCACCAGGTCTCATTACAGATGGTTGTGAGCCACCATGTGGTTGCTAAGAATTGAACTCGGGACTTCTGGAAGAGCAGCCAGTGCTCTTACCCTCTGAGCCATCTCTCCAGCCCCTATTATTATTTTTTTTTTTTATCAATTATTTATTCTAGAGAGAGGGCAGGCAACCTGTGAGGGCTTTTTCCTTCTCCTATGTGGTTCTCAGAGTTTGAAATCACATGGTGGCCAGGTGCCTTTCCTGCTGAGCCATTTCACCAGGCCCGTAAACAAAAAATATGTAGGGGGCTGGCACAAAGACACTGGCCACCAAGCCTAATGAGCCAAGTCTGTTTCCCGGGACCCACATGGTGGAGAAAGGCTTCTTGCAAGTTGAAGTCTACCACACGTCATGGCATTCAGCACGCACACACACTCATAAATTTTAAAAATATGTCTGGGGTTGCCGGGCAGTGATGGCCTTTAAACCCAGAGGCAGGCAGATCTTTGTGAGTTCAAGGCCAGCCTGGTCTACCGAGTGAGTTCCAGGACAGCCAGGGCTACACAGAGAAACCCTGTCTTGAAAAAAAAAACTTAAAAAAAAAAATGCCTAGGGGCTTGGAGAGATGGCTCATTGGTTTCTTCATGGGCTGCTCTTGCCGGGAGACCCACGTTCGATTTCCAGGTCCACCTGTAACTCCAGTTCCAGGGGATCCAACACCCACTTATGTCCTTTCCAGGCACTAGGCACACACGTGGTGCAGACACAGGCATACACATAAAATAATTTTTAAAATTCCTTTAAGTATTTATGGTCGGGTGGTGGTGGCGCACGCCTTTAATCCCAGCAAGAGCAGCCCTGTCTCAAAACAACAACAACAACAAAACCCCAAAAATCTGACTTCTAGACCAGTTACTTGCCTCCCTCAGGACAAGGCCAGGTAGGTTTCACACATGTCCCGTGGTTTGCTTCTGAGGCCACATGTGCAGAGCTCGGTCTCATGCCAGTGTTGCTGTCTTACAAGTGCTGGGCTGGAGGTTAGACCCTTCCAACTCCTCACTTAAGCTAGCTCCATCCAGGGGCTGGAGAGATGGCTCAGTGGTCAAGAGCATTGCCTGCTCTTCCAAAAGTCCTGAGTTCAATTCCCAGCAACCACATGGTGGCTCACAACCATCTGTAGTGAAGTCTAGTGCCCTCTTCTGGCCTTCAGGAATACACACAGACAGAACATTGTATACATAATAGATAAATATTTAAAAAAAGCTAGCTCCATCCAGGAATCCTGACCCAATGGCGACACCTGTGAGCTGAGTTGGCTCAGGTGGATTCAGAGTGGGAGACAAGGGCTAGAGTACAGCTCGGTGTGGCGCTCCTGCCTAGCTGTGCAGAGCCCTACAATGTGAGCTTCGGGATATTTCCCTCCCCCAACTCTTCCCCGTACTAGAGATGTAGTCTCAGGCACATTGGCTTCTCTGAATCTAAGCTGCCTCACCAATATAAAAACAATGGTGGTAACTATCTCAGACAATTACTTTGAGGATTAAATTAACTACCAGTTTCTTAGACAATGCTTGGGATGTCAAGTCCGCGGTCCTACATTAGGAAAAACAGAAAGAGAATCTGAGCCTGGCCCTCTGCAGGTGTTAAGACTGGCTCAGGCTGTTAGGTGAGGTAGCTGCAGAGGTTCAAGTTGGACTACAGAAGAAATTCCAAGCAAGCTCGGCCTCCAGGTGTGTGGCAGCCACTCCTACGACAGGAGTCTGAGCCCTAGGCAGCCAACGCAAGCTTGTTTCCTGGACGTGGGGGCTGATGTGCCAGACTTTGCTGACATAAGCATGCTAGAGATGATGCAGCCACCCGTCCCAGACAGGCCCTCCATCGCACTCTGACTCATCCCAGTTCCAGAGAAGGCAATAAGGAAAGACCAACACCCCAAAGGATCCCTGGCAGACGGATGCTTCAGACTTGACCAACTTAGGAAAATTTATTGTTCAAAACCATTCTCTTTAGCCAAGAGCAGAAAGCAGTCCTTGAGAAGAGAACTTAGAGGCACGCCTGGTCATTGTCCTATGTGTGGTTATGGAGGGGGACTGGAATGTAAGGAGTAGGGCCTTCTACGGACCCACACATGACCCTCTTGAGCAAGGCTCATGTGCCAAGGCAAAGCAGGTTACGTTAGGCTGGCACGAGGTGGGATCTCAGTGCTTTTTGGCCTTGTGTTCTGGCACCTCCTGGAAGCTCAGCAACATCAAACCCACATTGATAGCATAGGTGGTGATGCAAACGATGCAGAAATCATGGAGCACAAAGAACAGGATCCAGGCCAGGTAGACAGAACCAGCGAGGGACACCAGGGAACTCAGTACCAGGAGGACGGAAGCCCAACGTCCCCTCAAGCAACCTGCAAAACAAGAGAGGATCATTAAAGGTACATTTAGAACTCTGCCATTCCTCCCCAGTGTCAGAGAGTAGCTGCATCTGCTAAAAGTTCTCTAAGACAGGATCCAGTGGGCCTTATGTGTTCACTAACCCTTGGGACCCAACAGTAAATTCTAACTCTGTATGAGATGAAACATGAGTCACCTTTGGAGTCTCCTCAAAAAGAGTTTGTAAGCTGAGCCAGGAGGTGGTGGAGCACACCTTTAATCCCAGCACTAGGGAGGCAGACACAGGCAGATCTCCATGAGTTCAAGGCTAGCCTGGTCTCTACAAGAGCTAGTTTCAGGACAGGCTTGGACAGGCCTCAAAGCTACAGAGAAACCCTGTCTCAAAAAACAAAACGAAACAAAAAAGAATTTGTAAAATGGCTGTGTTTACATAGGCCTATAATCTTGGCACCTGGGATATGGAGGCAGGAGGCTCAAGAGTTCAAAGTCAACCTAGAATGCATAAGACCTTGTCTCAAAACAGTTGGTCCTAACACTTGGGATACAGAGGCAGGAGGATCTCTGCAAGTTCCAGGCCAACCTGGTCTACATAATGAATTCCAGAGTAACCAGGGCTACATAGAAAGTTCCTGTCTTTTTTGGGGGGGAGGGGAGGCGTCGAGACAGAGTTTCTCTGTGTAACAGCCCTAGCTGTCCTGGAACCAGCTCTCTAGACCAACCTCGAACTCACAGAGATCTGCCTGCCTGCCTATGCCACACAAGTTTGTGCACCACTACCACCCGACAAAAGTTATTTATTATTTTTATTACTTTTTAATATATGAGTGCTTTGTCTGCCGCTATGCCTACATGCTAGAACAGAGAATCAGATCCCAGTATAGATGGTTGTGAGCCACCATGTGAGTGCTAGGAATTAAACTCAGGACGTCTAGAAGAGCAGCCAGTGCTCTTAACCTCTGAGCCATCTCTCCAGAGCCAAGAGAGATCTCTGTCTTAAGAAAATTAAAAACTGGCCAGGCAGGCGGTGGCTGTGTATGCCTAGAACACAGCGAGTTCCAAGAAAGGCACCAAAATTACACAGAGAAATCTCTCAAAAAACCACCAGGTGTTGGCACATGCCTTTAATCCCAGCACTTGGGAGGCAGAGGCAGGCAGTTCTTTGAGTTTGAGGCCAGCCTCAGGTAGAGTGAGTTCCAGGACAGCCATGGCTATGCAGAGAAACCCTGTCTTGGGGGTGGGGAAAAGGAATTGATACCAGAGGAAATCTTTGAGAGCCCTACAGCCTCTGGCTACCTAAACTAAGGCAACCCTGCTAGTGTCTTCCTTTCTTGTCCCCTTGTGATGAGGTTGTTCAGTGATTAGCTGTGATTAGTTGGCTGTCAACTGTCTGGGTCACTAAGACATGGGGTGGTGCTGATCTGGCTTAGGAGGTCAGGAAGGGACAATGCCACTCACCTAACAACAGTTGTATGGTGTAAAACATGCAACCAAATATGCTGTTGGATTGGTTGAGGATGCTGTCGGCTCCTAGCACGTGCTCCACCAGCCCAAAGCCACGGCCCCACCTGGCGGGAGGGAAAAACCCAGGGAAGCGTGGTCAACCTAGTGCCTCCTGGAAAAAAAGCGATTAGCAAGACTCTCCACCCACCAGGAATCCAAAGGTCAGTGACCCTCTGGTGTGTCACTGACTCTATCCTGGTCTGTCATCATAGGCCATTAGTAACTTCAGGAGCTAGTGAGATGGCTCAGCTAATAAAAGTGCTTACTTCCAAGCCTGTCAACTGGGTGGACTCCTCCAGACCCACGAAGTGGGAGGGAACCACCTCCGATTTCCACGTGCATGTAGTAGCATGCACATGCAACCCCACAGACAAATAAACGGAAAAAAAATGTTTTTAATTTTTTCAGCCTGTTCGCGCTTTATGGTGACCACTCAGAGAAATGTGGAGCACAATCTATTTGTTCCCTCGCCACCAACATCCGGTCCTCCAGCACAACCAGAGTGAGCCACCTTTATCCCTGAGCAGAACAATGACACCACCTCCTGTCATTCTGCATCATCCTCAATCTCTGTGTACCATTCTGCCCTGCCTCCTCCAGTTTTCCAATCACAGTTATTCGCTGGCATCCTCAGCCTTCAAATCCCAGTATCTCTGAATGGTCCAGGCCCTGTGCACGTCTGAAACTCTTGGGGCAGCACTTTCAAAGTGTCCGTTCTGCGGACCCTGCGATCCCAGACTGCAAAATCATCCGGCAACCTGGCCGTCAAGGTACACCTGGCCTTCAGGGACCCCATGCTTTCCATTTCTGCACGCACCGAGAGGAGAAGACGCGTGAACAGCTGATGGAGGTCCCCACGTCGCAGAGCGCACGGTAGTCCTCGTCGCGGGCGCGCGCCGCCTTCACGTGCAGCGCGTACAGTGAGAGCGCGAAGCCGGCGAGGCAGAGCGCGAACCGCACGCGTCCCGGGTTCCTCCAGGTGGTGCCCATGTCGTCGACAGTCCAGACCACCAAGGGCTGGAGGGAAGAGCCCGCCACGGGGCGGAGGCGGGGCCTGGCGGGGCCACGCCCCTCAGGCCCGTAGGTTGGCCGGCCTCGGCGGGCATCCTCCTATCCAATTGATCGTTCTTAGGCAAGGCAGCTAGGGATGCTGGGCTGGTAAACAGGGTTAAGGGACGTGAGGAATCATTGGTACGGCTGCTGCCAGGCATGATGGGAATCGTAGTCGGAGAGACTGAAAGAGCTCAAGGAAAATGGAGTCTCTAGAGTTGTGAAGCTACTATTAACGTGACGGTGCTCAGCACGTTCTCTGTGCCAAGGTCCTGTTTTGTGCATTTGGCTTGTCTAGAGATTAACGGACAAATGGAACGTAGCGAAAACTGTGACGCGTTTCAGGAAGCATTTCCCCTGAAACTATTTCAGATGCCATTCGGCTATAAGCCGAGCTTCCAGGGCGCCGCCAGCCATCCCTCGCGCCTCACCAGCGCCTCTTGTGGGCGGAGCGCGCCCTTCGTCTCACAATAAATTCCGTTATCTTGGCCACACTGCTGGCAGTTTCCTAGACCTTGGCACTGATGTGGTACCAGCCTTCTTGGCAAAACTTGAGCCTAAATCAATCCAACAATCCCTCTGATATTATTTCCCCTTTACAGATATCCCGGCTATCGAGGACCCTTCTATTTTGTCCACCTCGTCATCCTTCCCATTTGCGTCGAGTTCCTGCACCAGCTCCCTCTACCTCTCTCCCCTACTGTCCTTAATCTAATCCCTTCACAGTTAAGTTTAGGGAAGATTTTACATTCCCAGTCTTCTTCAACTTCTTTCTTGCTACTCACATAATAAACGAGCTGCCCCTGAACGTTCCCCTGACTCCTACTGCAAGTATGGCAAGACGTTAAGCCCAATGCCAAGTGGTATTAATTGCTGCTTTCAATAACCTTTTTTTTTTATTTTCGAGACAGGGTTTCTCTGTAGTTTTTGGTGCCTGTCCTGGAACTAGCTCTTGTAGACCAGGCTGGCCTCAAACTCACAAAGATCCTCCTGCCTCTGCCTCCCGAGTGCTGGGATTAAAGGCGTGCGCCACCACCGCCCGGCTTGCTTTCAATAACCTTATTCCTTGATAGATCTCTACATAGATCAGCCTGGCCTAGAACTTGCAGACATCCACCTGCCTCTGCCTCCAGAGTGCTGGGATTAAAGGGGTGCATTTCTGTGCCAGCTAAGATCTTTTCCTTTCCTTCTCAAGGTCTCATTTCCAGGTATGACCTGCAGAGAAACAAGCCAAAATAAATAAATGCATACAGGATAAGCTAGGCATGATGGTAAACCTAGGAGATGGAAGCAGGAAGATCAAGAATTCAAGGTTAACCCCAACATAAACTACACGAGTCTCTGCCTCTAAAACCAATAAACAAATAAGCCAGAGCTACTACCCTGGATCATTATTTGGGTCCAACTAAAACATGAAAGCTCACAGGAAAGAGTCACAGGGAAGTAACCAGAGGAGAAACCGAGGGAGTTCTGAGCTAGTAGTGACTGTCAGTGGCATTGAGAAACAGGGAAGGGCAAAGAAACAAAAAGAAACAGATCCTCCCTAGAGTTTCTAGAACAGTCTCGCCAAACAGCTTTGGCTGACATAAAACTTTCCCAATAGTCCTACCTCAGCTTCCTGAGTGCTGGGTCTACAGATACGTCTCATTACATCTGGCCAGAATTAACTAATTAATCAATTGATACTGTGCTCAGGGGAGCCAAGGAGGCTGTGAATGCATGTGTAAGGACTGAATGAAGCCCTAAGTGAATGTGTATTGTTGGTATGGTCACAGCCAGCTCAAGGACCAATGCCCCAGACCCATGGGAAGTTGGCAAAGCTTGCTCAGTCCTGGGGTGAGGCTCAGGGAGATGGCGAAGTCTTCCTCTAGTCCAAGGGGACGTGCTGACAGTGTGTGC